GGGCAGCGTTGGTCACGCGACTGCCCACGGCCGGGCGGAAGTGGCTTCAGCGCGGCTAAGCGTTGGTGCGGCCACCATCTTGGGTGCTGGCACCAGCCTGCGAACTCCGCCTCAGAGTCGAGGGGAGCCCGCTCTCCCCGCCCCGCCTGCGAGGAGCTTGCGCGCATGCGCGCTGGCGGCAGGCTCTCGGCAGCAGGTGCTGGGTAGGGTCGTGCTAGTATCAGGAGCGGGAGGGTTAAGGAGCTGTCGTCTGGGCAAGGAAGCTATGTAAGTGTCCCTAAACAAGGCTTTGGTGTAAACTGGTTGCAGCCCGTTTCATCCTGCTGAGCTCGGTGCCCTCCAGGAGGAGGGAGAGTGACTGAGTCTGAAGTCAGGGTAGAGGTGCACCTTATAGACTTTTTTTTTTAAGGAAAAATGTTTGTGTTCCAAGCTAAATCAGCCAAATCAATTCCAAATTCGTGGCTGATTCAGTAAATCTAGTGAGAGGCAGTCAGCTCTCTCAGTCTGAAGTCAGGCTCTAATTCTTGCCTTCAGGCACACACAATGTATATGTTTTAGGGTAAAATGTCTGAATGCACTAAGAAAGATGTTTCATAGTTGCACCTGATACCTTGCCCATTGGTTGAGAAACGTTCTTGACACCTCCCTCTGCTCTGTCACCCATGACAATTCTCCAGTATCCACCATGGACATCTTGCACAAAAAATATAGTATATTATACCTCCCTGGTTTTTGTTTGCTTACTTAACCCATTCTTGAGAACGGGTTTCGGAAGATAACCAATTCTTGAATGGGTTTTGATTTGATTTAGTAATAAAAGTAACTTGTCAGCCTACACCTCCTCCTGTCCCAGAAATACTATCAGAAACATCAGCTAGGGAAAAAAGCTACCACTTAGCTAGTCTTGCTTCTACCCTTGACTGTGCTTCTGCAGTGAGAGGCTTGATGGTGTGTCTCAAGGATCTGTTTGGAGTTTGTTTTGTCTCTCTTTTTTTTCAAATTAGTGCTTTGGTCTCTGAATTCCATCTATTTGCATCTCTGTTTAATTATGACTCATAGTAGATACAGCTGGATGTTAAGAGTTTCATCAGCTGAGTCCTTATCACAGTTTTATACATAGATTTTAAATGATTGGCTTGATTCTCATGCTCATGGGCCTGAGTGCAAATTAGAGTCAAGCTCTACTTGCTTTAAAACTAATATATGTATGGCTGGGAAGGCAAAATTTAAAACTAAAATGTCTTTATTGTACAGATAAAAGATCATCAGTTTGGGAGGTTCCATTTGCACATTTAAATGTTATATTTATTCACTGTTGCTCCCTAGGAAGGGGACCGTTTTACCTGAGAAAAGGCTCTTGGATTGGGCCCTGTAATATATTTACCTGAATCTAAGACGATCCAGAATTTAAGATGACTTCCCAATAAATTAATTCCTATACATGGAGAAACTATAAATTTGTTATAATTTTTCAGGTAAAAATCTGATTATTGGGGAACGTAACAGGGAGTTACACCCCTGATACTGGGAGGGGGGACATGGGACAGGACCGCAGGGCTAAGTTGCTTTAAAGCAAGAACTTTTAGAGCCAGAAGGGGTGACGGCAAGCTGTGGACCTTCTCTTTCAGGGAGCAACATGGGGGGCCTCCTGGGAGGGTCTGAACAGAGGAGGTCAGGTGACCAGAAAGGGGAGAGGGCCCAAGGCCATGAAAACAGATCCTTGACTGCTAGCAGTGGGGAAGAGGTCTGGTAGGGAAGCTAGGAGGGATGGCACCTGAGGGATGAAAGAAACCACCCTGGAAGTTGGCTAGCTGGCTGGACCCTGGATATACAGGGAGTGACCTTGAAGATGAAGAGATCACTGCAGCGGTGAGCATCCTGAGTTTTTCTTTTTATTTTGGGCCTGGTGGGCTGAAGTTTATGTTTGGGGACTTTGATGGCTATGGGGGTAGGGCAGTCTGAAAAAAAGACCTCCCTGTTGTTAACCACCAGTGGTATGAATGTAGTTATAAGGGGCTGTGTGGAGACTGCATAGCACACAGCTGACACAAGGGCCTCTGCTATAATTGACCCACAGTGGGTTGGGAGTGCTGGCTTCAGGGCCTGGGACCTGCTGGGGCAGCAGAAGCTGAGATCCTGCAGGTCTAGCCCAGAGGTAGACTCACTTCCTTGTGGGGCTGAAGGTTCAGGGTTCAAGATCTAGCAGTGTCACAAGTAGGACTAGTGACCTGGACCAAGAGAAACCTTGCATGCAGCACAGCAGAGGGCCTTGGAAGTTAGGATGGCCACTAATGCATCCCCAGAATAAAGGACATCCCCTTGGTAAAGAGCAGGACCACTGGCCCCCTTAGCTAATCAGTGGTGAGGGATGGGGCCACTGAGTCCCTTGGCCAATCAGCAGCAAGGGGCAGGGCTTCCATGAAAAGACTGCTATTTGGGCCGTGAACCCCATGCTAATGAATGCATGGTGCCCTGTGAAACAAGGAAGAACATGTTCTGGGATAATCAGTAAGTTTGTGAGCCTCTGCAGTTCAGCCAGCAGGTAGCCTTGCCTTGTTCCCCCTGCATTGTGGTTTCATATATCCCACAGCTCTGCCATTCTCTCCGGACTGTCCAGCCTTGAGAAAACGTGGCATACCAGGTGTGAGGATCAAGCACCCCCTCCCCCGCTGGGATATGGTCTGACTCCAGCCCAGCTCCACGCTTTGGAGCCAGGGGCATATACTGCACAGAGACCTCACCTCTCCCCATCAGCTTTAAGTACAGACACTGGGCACCTGGGAATCTGCCCTGGCCACATTCTGGTCAGAGCTGGGCTGAGTGAGTGGGGTTGGTGGGCACTGGATGCCTGTGGCAGTGCAGCCAGCTGCCTGGTGGGACCTTTCCTTCCCCAGAAGACAGACAGGTTTGCCTGTCCCAGAGGAGAAATAATGGCTTAATGAGCATGCAGCTTGAGCTAAGCACAAAGGTCAAACCCAGGCCTGAAGGCCTCCGTGTCCCAACACCCCAGCCTTCCCACGGTCAGGGAGCTCAGGCATGCCACCGCGGCTTGGCTCTCGCTGTGCCTGCACATGCACTGCATCCATGGCTCCTCATACAGGCGCAGAGTGACCAGCCTCTGAAACCGTCTACCTCCATCCATCCCTGGCTCAGAACCCTGCTCCTCCTGGCTCTGCACTGCCTTACCTCTACTCCCAGCCAACAGAATCGCAAGGACAAATGATTAGCATAAATTTCCATGAATGAACTGAAAAACAGGATTTTTTTGCAGTCTGGTTCTCATTCAGGAATGGACAGGAGATACAAGGTTTAAAAACAGAATGGTCTGGTATAAAACAGAACTAATGGCCACCCTATTGGAAGTGGTCTGGACCAAACTAGTAGCCATAACATGGTTAAAGGCAAGGCAGTAACAACTGTTTTTGGGGTTTCCACCCTGCTCTTTTTAGGTGATGCAGCCTCCCCAAATTATTCAACATTAAGGTGTGGTGGGAAAGCAAGAGCAGGTAGAGAATGCACTAGGGATGTAAATATTGTTTTAAAAATATTTGTTTACCCTCCTCTAATTGTATCAGTTAAATGATTAACAAGCAAGGCAGCAGATCTGACAGCTGCTGCTGGGAGCCTTTTGACAGGGTTGTGGGGGAGGAGAGGAAGAAGGCAAGCCCAGCCAGACAGCACAGCCCAGGTGAAGCCTGCACTGGAAAGAAGGGAGTACCTGTGAACGAGCAGCTAAGTGCTTAATTGAAGAGTCATTAGGCTGCCCTCTGTTCTCTTCTTGGGCTATGGGTACTAGTAGAGGTGCACTGATATTTTGGTGGCATATCGGATCTGCACCGATAAAAGGAAAATTAACATTATCCGCAATCAGCTTTTTTTGACCAGTGTAGCTGATGTCACCGATAAATGCCATGTGCATGCACACAGCCAGGAATGCAGCCTAGCAGCTTGGAGAGCAGCATCCTGCTGATAAGTCTGTGGGGTGGAAAGGGAATGGGGGAAGGAAGAGGTGTGTGTGTGGGGGTGCAAATTGAGGCCCCCAAGGTGAGGGAGGGAGTGGGACAGGGGCAGGTGCTGCCCAGCTGAGGAAATGAATGTGAACAGGCGGAGCTGTGAGTGGCTCGTCTGGGCGTGCAAGAGGGTGTGGGGGGCAGCTCCCCACCACTGCATACACCCCCAAAGGACACATGGCGGGTATGTGTTCCCTCAGATTTGTGTGCGGGGTGAGGGCAGGCTGCCCACCATGGGGTTGAAGTCAGGGGCTGCCCCAGCCTCTTCCCAGCGGCGGGGCTAGGCTGGGGCTGTGCTTGGGGCAGGTGGAGGTGGGCCAGGAGGCGGTGACATTGTGAGGAGTGACTATGGGGAATTTTGGGATGGTTGTAGCCCACCTCCACCCCTCCCAGCACTGCCGCGCGCTCTACTCCCGCCCACCCCGAGTGCAGTCCCAGCCCAGTCCCCCTGCTGGGAAGAGGCTAGCACAGCCCCTGGCCCCGAGCCTGCAGTGGGCAGCCTGCCTCCACCACATGCTAGGGTGGCCATCATAGAGGACATTCTGGTTTTCTGCTACTCTGTCCTCTATTGATATGAAACCTGATGCCTTTATGTGTTCTGTTTTTCTCTTCAAGAGGACATAAAGGTCTCCTCTATGATGGCCACCCTACGACATGCACAAATCTGAAGGGGACATGCCCCCCCATTGCCTCCCACGGGGGTACATGCAGCAGTGGGTAGTCACCCATTGTGCCCAGCCGCCCATGGCTCCATCTTGCTCCTGGGGTCTCATCTACCACCCTCGCTGGGTAGCACCTGCCCCTGCCCTTTTCCCTCCCTCACCATGGGGGCATTGATCTGCCTCCCCCCCGCACCCCTTCCCTCTTCTATGCTCCTTCCCCCTCACAGAGTTACTGGCAGGACGCTGCTCTCCATGCTGCCTGGCTGCATTCCTGTAAATTGGCTACTGGATGGCTGGCTAATAATCGGCC